ATACGTCTTACGACTTAAACGTCTGCTAACTTCTTGTGGACTAGAGTTAGCAATATTTTAACTTAATAACTATTAATTAGTTGAATCAGCCATAATACATAATATGTTAGTTTTATTCAATCATAACATATTATTGATTCTTTAAAAACATCAGTCATACGTCACATATAAATACATGGTATACTGATGCATAGCAAATAGATTGATTCCAGATTACGGATTGCCAAACTCGAGAACATGTTGTGGGCACAATGTCACCGGAAATTGTGGTTCGTGGCCGGTACACCAGAATGTTTGCCAGCTAGTGGCGGGTATTCCAGGTGTGGCAGGAATACTTGACTTGTGTATTGACAACATTGCCATGTTTGTGGAGTGGCGATCATGCAAATACTAAGTATTTGAGCGACAGTCCACATTTCACTGCAAGATCTGAGAATATTCAATATAGATACAGTATTGCATGTAGATCAGATGTTGCTATTTAGAAAATGTAAAATGTACCCATCTTCGACACCCAGGGGACGAGTTCCGTAGAAAATAGAATCGTTTCGTAGGATATTCATGACAATCGCACACAGTTAGAACTTTAGGAAGAAGCCTGACCTTTAGGCCTTTGCTTCTTTGCTACTGAATAATATGTGTTAAGATCGTAAGCTGCTATATTTTGCTTCCTTAAGAAAAAAAAATGGATTCAAAATAAAATGTTGCATGTTGTAAACAGCTTTCATATTATATTATGTATTATGTACCCGCGAAGACATATTTACGATCAGGTAAAAAGAATTTCCAAGCATCAAAAGTGCCTGCCAGCCTGGCAGGAACAATAAATCTTACGAAAAATACGTTGTCAATACAAGAAAATACCAGATTTATGAATATGCTCATAATATGTTTTTACGAAGATTTCGAAGAAAAAATATTTATATAATAAAGCAAATGTCACAGGCAAAATACTCACTCGGTAGTATTCCTTTGAGGCACGACCTTCAAGGTTCTTTCACTTCACACGTGAGGAAGTTTCTATGATATAAACATTCATTGAGATTTATATTATTAGTACACAAACGATACGTTTCGATCATAACCGTTATCGAAACATCAAGACCAATCTCTGTACATTCACATTATATATTTATTTAGAAAATTTACACGTGAGAATAACTTAACGTTTTACTTAGTTTGTTTTATCTTTGTACGATTACGCGTGCGCTAGCGCCGCCTATGACTAACGCTCGAAGTGCTCGATCTGCCAAACCAGTTAATTAAAATTCATAATAACGTCCCGAATTGAAATAGCGATAGCTATACAGTAGAATCAAAATCAACCAAAGTAAATAATCAACTGCGCGCTATATTACATTGTTGTATTGAAGGTTCAGTTGAAGGTTCAGTTTAACACTTGGTGGTTTTAAAAAGTCAGAGTTAATAATAATATTTTTCTATTTCTAAGTTATTTTGGAAACCAACAACGTTATTTTTTTCCTCTAAAACACGTGGTCTATACTAAGATTTTTCCTGTTATGAGTTAACAAACATACAAATTGACATAATTATGCATCCCTAATACATCAGGTTTATCCAAAAGGAAAATATTATCATGGAACTTGTTGACAGTCTATTATTTTTATTGGACGAGTGTTCAATGGAGTGAACTAAACAGACCACAAAAAGTCCTGTCAAAGACAAGCGGCCGTCGTCTGGTGTCGTCGACTGTGAAAGCATCTCTGTGTACCGAGAATGTAACGGAAATAAAAACCTGAAATAAAAAACATTTTCATTGCTGTTAATTGATAGTACCAGGATGACCGAGTTGTCCTCGGTGTTTGTTTTAGTACACCGTTGTTAGGAAAAAATATAAAAGAAATATTAATAAACAAAAAATGAAAAATAAAATAGAACAAAAAAGGTAACGAACAATTTTTGTACTTATACAAAAATTCAAGCTCCAATTGCAATTTTTAGGTATACCTCTACATAATACAAGAATAAATTGCTCTTTTAACTTATTTTTAGTGCGGTATAACCTAGTATATGTCAACTACAATTTATTTAGTCACGTCTTTCAAATGAAAAGACGGAATAGTGTGTCTCTGTGTTCTCCACTTTATAAAGCAATCATTTACCTATATGTATTAAAAAGATAATGAAATAAAATATGTCGGGTAAATACTTTAAACTGTCAAACACCGCGAGGACACCGGTGATCGCAACCTATTGTTCTTTAAACTGTCAAACACCAAGCGGTCACCGGTGACCGCAACCTATTGTTCTATAATTGTGTCTATAATGACGGTACTTGACGAGTTAATTGTGTCTATAATGACGGTACTCAAACGGTTAAGTAAATAAAGAAATACATAGTAAGGAATGCGATTGTATAACAAGTATTATCTATTTAGGTACAGTGAAGTACTAATTGGATTTAGAGTCAATTGTAGGTTTAACTTTATACCACGGCAGTATGCAAGCCAGTCAGCATATCCTTCAAAGGATTTGTTAGGCAGTGATATACAATAAAAAAAAGGTGGATGTCACAAAAAAAAATTGACATTTCAAAACGCGTACAACTCTTTTTCTAAAATTCTTTTCCTTAGTTTTTGGCCATAAAAATAATGAGATAGGTACACAAGTCCCGAATATTTTAACTTCTTTCATCATAAAAAGAAATCCTTTGCTTTGAGTTAAAAAAACTATGCGTCTAATTTCAGGAATTCAGAAAATTTACTTTGTGGTTGTAAAGAGAGCTTGAAGTTTTGTATACGAAAATTGTTTGTTAAGTAATATTCGCAAAAGAAAGGAGTGGAAAAGTTTTTAAAGGCAGGTATATGTATATTAATCTACCTACAACCTTTCATAGCTATACGCATACTTTTTTTTAAGTGGGTAGAATCATCGAATGACTACTCCCGCCGGGGTGAGGCGGGAGGGAGTGTCATACTCTTACTGACTAAAAACCACCTCGTTCTTACTTCTTCCACCGCACTTCGAGCCGGAGCTCCGGTAACCCGTTAGGTTCTCCGCGGCTCCGTATAGCTATATACGTGTATACGTGTACTGGGAATGTAATTCCTGTGTACTAAATATGTTTAATACGAGCACGGCAATTAGAACTAACTAAATATGTATATTAAGTTGAATTAACGCTAAAGAAAACCTCAAAGCATTGTAATATCAATTGTATTAAAAAAAAATATAGTTCCGTCAGCTATGAACACTGAGCTCTTTTAATCGAGTTTATTAAATAGAAAAAAAAACAAATCTCAGTTCAAAATGCAATTTTAATTTGGGCAAACGTGGTTTGATAGAAATACACAATGGTTTATGTTTCAATGGTATAACAACGGGGCAAAACAGGCTCCTGTTAATAAAATTGTTTGAACCATAAATTCACAAAAAGTTTTAAATAAGGGTACGGTACTCAATTACGGTTTGATTATTCGATGAAGCCAAAGTTGTATAACACTGGTTGTATTTAATTTTACCTCGAACCTGGTGCTCCGGCACATTATACTGTTCTGTTGTTCATTATTATTTAGATAAAATTAAATGTTGTCAAACAATGTTCTCAATTACCTAAGTATTTAGTTTACCTCTAAGTCTAACATAACATAACATAAAATCATGCCTTTTATCTCCGAAGGGGTAGGCAGAGGTTTACATTATATTACTGTTGTAACACCCACTTATCACTATTTATGTTACGAGTCCCATTTAATAGGGGGTGAGCCTATTGCCATATACCGGGCACAATTCAAAACTCTGTGCTACTACCTACTGAGATTTTTTTTAAAACCCAGTAATACTTTGCCCGACCCGGGAATCAAACCCTAAGTAACGTAACGTAAACGCATACGAGTATCGTAGTAAGCGAATTCTAATAAGATTAGCGACTCAGCTACTGTTCAACATCGCCGCATCGTGTTCATTATAGCCAGTCAATATGTGTGTATTTAAAGCGTTATTTCAAAACCGGTCGGCTTTTCGCACGACGCAAATTGCGTTGTAACAAGAACAGAATTTAAATTTTGTTACAAAGTCGACTGTAAATACTTTAGAACAAAGATGAATATTGAATGAATCCAACATGATACGTTCTAGAACTAGTAATGCAAGGAATCGATTTAACTAAATGACAGTAAATAACGAAAAATAAAACCCTTGCTACTATAGGAATTACATTAATTGAATCAAGAAGAAATACAGTGTGTTCCATTTAGTGTAGTATGAAGCAGTATGGGTATTGGTACGTTTTATTAGGTCGGTGAACGCACAACCCGCTGTAATTGCCCTATAATCCGATCAACGTTGCACGATGCAGCGATGTGTAGTTTAGTCGCGAGGATTAAATTGCTTAGTTGTTATTTAGTTTAGCCTTTCTGTTACAATTACATTAAAGGTATTTCAACTAGATAAAGAAGGATTAATTAAAAACATATTCCTACGGGGTCTTTGTAGCCTAGTAGGTATAGGTAAGATACCTACTAATTCAGTGCAGATCAAAACTGTGAATTCACTCAAAACTAGACGCGGGCTTACAAAGTAAATAGTACGCCATGGTCGTTGGTACGAGTAGAAGCGTAGGTAGGTGGAGTGAAACGATCGTGTTCTACTTTGGCCTAATGAAAATCGGAAGTGACGTCGCTTAGTCCTCCTCTGGCTCCGTCTTATTTACTAGCGTAATAGCGCTAGACATTGCAGACTGCGGCGCAACAGGCCGTGTGTCGTGTGGGTAGCAAACGAGAATCCATTTCATTAATTAACATCAAATAATCAACTAAAAACCTTTATATAACCAGGCAGATACAAACGACTCAAACAGTCCGCTAACTTTTAAGTTTTTACAAATTAAATACCTTTGCATAATTTAGCACCTACTTCGCAGAAATACAGAAAATGAACAAACCAAGAGGGTACTTCGCTCAGTCTCGGAGTGATCATTTCTTTAATAGAAAAGTTATATATAAAAAGACCTTTATGAATAATGAGTGATTCTTACTTACCCGAGTAGGGCGGTCTCTTCAGCACTGATAGGCATTTTCAGAAGCGGCTTTTCTGGATCTTCAAAGGTATTTCTGAAATAGTGCAGGGTATGTAGCATACGACATATGGGCCATGAAGTGTTACAATTAATTGTAGGCACATATCTAGAATGTATAACTAAAGAATGAGTCTATAAATGGTTTAGATGTGGTTTAGGAGTTAAGAAGTATTTTGACTGATATCTAACTCAAATTATAATGCACCACACCAAATGAATTGTTCTTTCTGTATAGCGGAAAAGGACACAGTAAATAACACTCGCTATTTGATTTAGCGACACTAAAATTCCTATTAGGTTGTGAAGATCTTTGGGATTCTAATTTGAATTACTTAAATGTCTCAATGGATCGAAGATTAGTCTATCCCGCAACCCATTTACCATTTTGACCTACTTATCCGATGCGATGGGTAATCACCAAGTCAAGACCATTTTACAGAGAGATGGAAATCGTAAGTAGTTACCAATGTAACAGGAAGGTCTCAAATAACGACTGGGGTCTCTGACCAAGGCCGCGATGCGATGGCGTAAAAATAATGTAACTAGGTATATGTTACAGATGGGCCGGGCCGGCATTATAAAAAATATAGTCTGGTCAGCACATGGAACTTTGGGCTGACCTCTCATGTTATCGCACTTGTACCTTAGAACAACAAGTTTTACCAGATGTAGACAGACTAAACTGTCTATGCACAGTAAACGTGCAACGCTTGGAAAACTACACTTACATTTGTTGAGCCCATTCGGGTTGATCGACATAGACAAATTCTGAGGAATTTGCCATATCTCTCGCTATCTATTTACTCTAATACTAACACCATGAATATGGACTGGCTGCTTTGTGTGCGTACTACGGAAGTACTACGACAACCAAATGACGGTGTAAGAGAGGCTTATCTAACGCGGCGTCAGCTGCGGTGGGTCAGCCACGTTTCCCGGATGTCTGACGATTCAATCTGCTTCTAAACGGATCTGCAGGATGGTAATCAAAAACAAAGTGGTCCCCTCTTGTACTTCAAAGATGTGCTTAAGCGCCATATGAAACGGGAAGCCCTAAAAATGAGCTATATTACCTGCTAATTGGTCACTATGCTTACAGAATGTGACCACTAAGGTGATCGAGTTGGAAAATCAACGTGAGGGAGAAAGAGAAGCGTGATAGACTTAAGACTCGACCATACGAAGAGATCCAAATTTAAATAAGTAAGATAACGTTGGAGGATTATGTGGATGCGTATTCAATGCAGAAAATAGCTACGTCAATCACCTGAGAATATAACGACCGGGTTCTCGATAGGCCCAGTCAAGTTGCTTGGGCCGAAATCGACCAGGATAATATGTTTTCCTGCTAAAAGACACTTCTTCCAAATTCAAACGTACACGGAAATGTACAATTATTATGATTGTTTTAAACATTCCCGGATGGTAATCGCCGCGATTCGAACTCTAGTTCATCGAGAACATATTTGAGTTTCGAAATTGTCAGTACAGTAACAATAGGCGTTAGGAATTATTGTACTAAATATTTGGCTTCGTCGCCGTTTGTACCAAAGAAATATGGATTATAAATAGTGTACATCGAATGTACTAGCAGACGTCAAGATGTGAATCTACCTGAAACTGTTCACTTTTTTCAATAACTTTGTTTTAAAATCTTTGGACTACATGGATGTGTTACCTACCCCACATTAAATATTATACTCCTGTATACCACAAAATGTAGTAACATGTGTAATGTTACATTACATTCCACATGACATGTTATTTCCAGACTGATTTAATTTACTTAAATATACTGAAATAATGTAGGGTTTTGCCTAGAAATATTTTTTTCAAGATATGTGCCTTACATATTCATGGATATGATAATGTTTTGTGGATCTATGTATACATGTAAAGTAATGAAGGGTCTTCATCTTTTACTAAATTAATGTAATAAGTACAAGAAAAAAAAATGGGACAGTTATTTGATTTTATACTTACTACTTTTCTTTGTACCCACTTACAACTACTGTTTCTTTAAAATTAAAATATAAAAAAGATTACTACAAGAATTATCTATTTGTACCTACAAATGCAAGAAATTAAAAAGTTCAGAGTGTGAACAAAGTGATAATAAAAAATGTGACAAGCGTCTAAAGCACATGCAAAGGGCAGAGTACTCACTCCGTCAACACCTCAGTCATATCAGATACACAACCATCAAAATAGGGGTCTAATTTCTTCTTAGCTGCCCCTCCAAGGCGAAGGATTTTCTTAACATTATTCTTTTTGTTGGGCACTGTGGTACCCCGGTATACTTCACCGAGGCAAATGTAAGAGCCACCATTCAGCAAACCCCGCTGCTGATGCATGCCAACTTAACATTAACAAAAAATAAAATAAGAAAGTTTAAAAAAGCAAGAAATCATATCATGCTATTAAAAGCCTGCACCCAGTCACATTGGCAAATAAGAATAGTTTCAACAGTTGCACTTTCTTCCAAACTAAATAGTTTGCTGTGAACTTTATTGCCTAGTTACGTGAACAGTTGAGTTGCGGAAAATAAGTAGTGACCTAACAGTAAACTATTAAAAAGAGTTTCCAACTATAAATTAACTTACCTTCTTGAAACAGGAGCTCGTTTAAGTAATAATTTATGGGTTTCGAGTAGTGGCCGCAAACAGCAAAGTCGCGCACCTGTTCGCACTGACCACCGTTGTAGCGTAACGCCGACAACTGAATAGTTGGAAATGTGCTGGCTGCAACCTCACATTTAGTACTAGCTGTAGCAGTCGTAGCTCACTTCGCAACGTACTGGAAGCGCATGCGTATATAAATACGTCAATTATTTAATTTAAAACCCGGGAAATTATAATACTTTCATCAGTCTTTAGAAGAAACATCTACTTTGAATATAATATGAGTAATGAATAAGGTATTTGAATTTTTGAAACGCAGTCCCATAGAACAAAAATACATACGTTGGTTCACAACTTACATTGTATAGTTCCTTACAATCTACCCCACAAAATTGAATAAGAATTCTTCGAAAACAAAACAACCTCTGTTTTATTTAAATAATAAATCCACAAGTTAGTTTTAAATTTTGACCTACTCCATTAATTTCTGACTTTGAACATAGCCTTTTTAGCCGATAAGTCGTAATATTAGATTTAGTCTACAAAAGTTAAATTTCAATGTCATAATAGTTATAAAAAGAGGTCTGAAAATTATTAATATCCAATACACTTTATTTTCCGTAGTATTAGAAGAGTTGAAGTAAAATTAAATAAAGTTTATCAGTTTCAAACCGATCAAATTCAACAAATTCATAGTCATCTTTCAAAACAAGTAAACATTTAATCCTCACGACATCTGTATTTCTGTACGCAAATATTGTCTGCTACGTTACTGTGTCGGGAATACATTCAGAATCCAAATTGCACAAACAGTCTCACAATACAGCGTGGTAGATGTCGCTGAAAGGATCTAAAAATAATAACGACCAGAATTAATAACCTTTACACTAATATTTAGTACAAAATATCTGGAATGATTTTGATTATTGAAAGGAACCCTATCAAACAAATAAAGTGGATCCTATTCTAAATTTCTGGTTAAAATTGGTATACATTATTATCTGGTAACACTAAAACCGCGCCATCTATTTCTGATTTCTGGTACTACTACTTCATTAGGTTTAAAAATAGTACGGTAGATGCCACTAGTGATGGCTAGTCACTTTCAAACATCTGAGCTACTTATCCTCTGTAAAAATAAACAAAACAGGTGATCTTCTGGGACAATAAAATAAGCCTTATAAAATTGTGTAAGTATTATATAATAAGGATAAAATTCAAAGTGATAATAACGTCAACATAAAAAGTAGGTGCCATAATGTTATATATAGATAAGATTTGTTTGGGTATTCTATCCGTGGCATGTGTGGACCACGCATGGACACCCATTAAAATAAAAATTAAGAAAAAAAATGTCCTTGTATAAAAATAATGCAACTTAACGGTTCTTTAACAATTTTAATCACAGGCAAAAAGTTTTACTTTGGTAGCTCAGCTCTCTAGGTTGTCGCGTTCCGCGCGCGCGCTAATCGGAGTTCCCTGACGTCCAGAGATGAAAGATCTGCTTGATCCGGAGCAGCGGATTGCGGAAAACCTAATGTGTTACCGGGGCTCCGGCTCGGACAAAGAGTAGATGATAGGGTGTTTTTTAATCAGTCAGTTCTGACTCTCCCGCTTCACCCAAGGCGGAAGAAGTCTTTCTGATTACAGTCCAGTACCTAATAATTTTATAAAATTGATAAATTAATACGTACCCAAGTTATTACAAAACTACAAGAAAGTTCAATACTTATCTACTATAAAACATACATACTTCTAACTATAACTTCACGCCTGTCTCCCATGGGGGTAGGCAGAGACTAAGCGAAAGAGGTATGTAAGAATCGTACTAATTGGCGTTCCTTAGTCTCTTCCTACTATAAAAACAATCAAAATATCTTTGTTGAGTTTGTAGTTAATTAATATCTATTATTTTCACTTGCTTCCGCTCAAAAAGAATATCATACTGTTAGGTACAAATATCGGCACAAGTTTTACAACGATCAAGTTTAGGGTTGCGCTGTGTCGAAGTTGTAGGTACTCACAAGCCGTATACAGGTACGATGGTGGCACAATACTCTCGACAGGAACATGACGGGGCATCGATCCTAGAGCCGCTCCTGTACACTGCAACGCAACGCGGCTCGTGTTCTAATGTCACATCACTTATCACTGGCAGGTTCTCATCAACTACGAAACCAATATTGTCCATGTTTACTAACACAAAAATGAAAGTCCTTGAAAATGTTATTAAATTGCAAAGGCTTATTGAAGAAAATTCTTCTAGTAGTGTTCACTTTTGTAGTTTATTTAATGCTATTTAAAATTGCCTTATTTGCATCATATGTGCTGATGGCAGAGTGCATGAATGATACGTTAGCAACTGAAAAATGCCGTTGACGATCACGTGTTTTATATAGACTTGCATTGTTAATCCAGCATTTTGCAGTCATGTGGAAAATTCTCCGTTCTCGATAATGCCTATTATACGCTCTGACAATATAAGTAGGTACTTATTAGTTACATCGAGGTTACACAAACACAAAGGACTGGCTTACCTAAGCAGAATCAATATGAAATTTTATTTGGTCGTTTTTATAGTTAGATACTTCATCACTAATTTTACATAATGTCACGTGTTATGTAGGTAGGTTAACTTAACCTATATTGTATTTTGCATTTTGAGTAGCTGCACTGTGCATAACTATTAAAATATGCGTAAACCTATCGTTCCCGATATTAAAGTGCAGTCTTCATGCTGATCAAAGTAAAATAAATTGGTTCCTAATAAAGCCCCAATAACTTTTAACTTTACAAAACAGACAGACAGACATCACAGATTTCTTTTCCGGAAAGTGGCCAGCCACTTTACTGGAAAAACATTGATTAGATACTAAATTCTATTAAGTCGCAATGCAATTTGTGAAGTCTAACGAAGTTTATATCTTTGCTTAACTTAGCTTGGTTAGGTACTAGGCACAGGAAATAAAATCTAGATTGCTAGATTGAAAATGGTCCTTAGACGCAAATGAAATTATAGCTTAAAGATTGCGTCTGAAGTGAAATTTAATAAAAAAATCCATTTCAGTGCCAATCGCTAGTCTGTAAAACTGTTTACCGTTTCAATTTTATTGGAAAGACAAATTATTCCGTTTCGAAGTGAAGGCAAATGAATATTTTATTTGTTAAAAGTTGTTCCAGAACACCTTGTCTTACACTGTCACCTAACTTTGAAGCGCACTATTTTACGTGTGACATTTTACACTAAAATAAGTCAGATAAAATCAAAGCTAAGTTTTATGAAAAACGTTTACGTTTATTCGGCATAAGACATGCACGCCTGGATAAATACTAAAACAAGCTAATAGTAATAATATAGGTGCACCCAACACAGAATTTCAGTTGGCACCCCTGCAGTGACGCACGGACGTGAGCAACACTTAATTGTAATCCGCATATGCCAAAACTTCATTTTAATTTTAATTACATCTGTAGACCCGACATAAATAATGTAAAGGTGTAATGTAAGGTCACAATGTAACAAACACATGTCGTGGACAACAAGCAACATGGGTTTATTTATAGTAAAATGTATGTATTTCGCATTAGCTGTAGATGCTATTCATTGGGTCGATCCCGATTCCTGATCACGTGCTGGGCAAGCATTTCGTTACACCTCTCCGACGGGATCCGGTAAAGTGATTGAAGTTGGCTCCGCCGATGCCTCCGATAACATTTGGACGAGTTCGATAGAAGCGATAGCGTTTTAAGGCCACGAAAATCAAGAGAGATTCAAATACTAGAAAAAGTAATGACGAACGATTACTCAAAGTTTGATTAAAGATTAAGACAAAGATTATGTTCTTAATATTGTTGCTTCGTTAGCCTGGTAGTAGGTACACCTACTACAAATTTTGATTCTGGGTTCAATTCTTGTACCTAAATAAAATATTTTCTTTATCATTACAATTTTAATTGTTTCAAGCAATTTTAATCTCCGTTGCATTGCAAACATGTTCATAGTTTATTTCTAGGTTTTTTTTTTCAAACAAAATGGGTTCACAAGTCCGATGGAGCCTCAGTGGAGCACTACTACAACCCGCTTGATTTCATGTCTTGCGCCGGTGACCGTCCGATACTTTATCCAGCCCTTCGCGTCGTTTGCTCCATTTCATAAATTTGCTTCATAACTTTTCTCCTTGCCTATTTACAGAACACGTTACTCTGAAATATTGTTCATATAACATTAGTTTTGAACTCGTACACAAGCCTATTTAAAGAAGTTAACACTAACAATTATAGTAGATAGATGGCAAGGCACTATGTATTATTAATTATAGCTCATTTAAAAATGGGAGTCCACCGCTGGACTATCCCCTCTAAAAACGAGGATTTGCCAACGAGGATTTGAAAATCAGCGTTGGGCATGTACGCTTAACTTAAGGCTGAGATGGAGGCCCTTCTGGCATGGACACGCACCGTTAAATGTTATTTATTTATTTATATCTTGTTTTTTAATAATTTTTAATTATTTTGTTAGTATACTATTGTCACTGTTTTGTTATACGTTGTCGTTTCTTTGTGTTTTTTTTCTATATCTGTATAAATAAGTTTATTTATTTGTTATTTTCTTTTTTAATTTTGTATTTTTTTTGTATCTATGTGCGTGCCTACTGTCGAATAAATGATTTATCTTTCTTTCTTTCTTTCTTCCATAGCTTCGGAGATCGGAGTTTAAAAGAATCACGTTTATTAGAGACCGACTGTCGCCTGATTCCTGCATATGTGCAATCCCTCGTTGTCTCTTAGGATACTCGCGGTACGAGCATGGGTGGTGACGTCACCAAATGACTATATACATAATATGTACGTACGTATGTAATTTATAATTGTGTCGTGGTGGCCCGGAGGTTAAGGCGCCCGCTTTTTAGGCGAGGGTACGGTGGTGCGGGTTCGAAATTTGCCACCGGTAAGGACCAATGTGACTTTTTCCCAGTTATATGTACTTTCTAAGATTAGTTAGCCACAGACAAACGGCGAAGGAAAACATCGTGAGGAAACCTGGACTTATAATTTCTAATTATAAGTTTGTAATCGCCAATCCGCATTGAGCAAGCGTGGCGATTAATGCTCAAACCTTCTCCGTGTGAGAAGAGGCTTTGCTCAGCAGTCATTTATAGGCTGTTGATGTGATGCAGGCCGGATTTTTTTACATTTACCTATTAAGGGTATTTTATTATCGTTTCGTAATTTAAGATATACATATATATAAATAAAAAATGAATTTCTGGTCGTTAGACTCGCTAAAACTCGAAAACGGCTGAACCGATTTGACTAATTCAGTTCTTGAATTACATGTGGAAGTCCAGGGAAGGTTTGAAGGTAAGAAAAATATTTATAGGCGGCACGAAGTTTGCTGGGTTAGCTAGTATTTATTAGTTTTCTTTTCTTATTATTAAA